TCCCATCCGCTACCTCCCCACAGTCAGGAACCATTATCCTGACTTATAGTAATTACTTCCTTGTGTTTTGTCATAGTTTTATCACCTAAGTTTAGTCTTGCCCCTTTACTATGATACATGCATTTTTTTTTTTTTTTTTACTGTTTTTGTTTGCTGTTGTATCTCTAGTGCCTAGAACAATAGCAGTCAGTGAATACTCAGTTTCTATTTGTTTTATCTGGTATAATTCTTAAGACTGTAAGTTAATGAATCTTCTAAAAGGAGTGGAAATGACAGGTTGTGTTCCTTGAGTTGTTTCTTTTATGCCGTTTTGCAAGAACAATATGATGTCATTGGGAAGAGGTGGGAGGCGCTTTTGGATTGTTAAAAGTAGAAGGATTTGGGGGAGTATCTTAAACAAACCATTCATTTTTCAGATACGGAAATTAAACCCCAGGGAGGTTAAGTGACTTGTCCGAACCATTTTCTACCTAATGTTATCTCTTTTTTTGGCAGCTGGCTGGTATAGGTATCAAACCCTGGACCTTGGTATTATCAGCACCACACTATAACCAACTGAGCTACCCAGCCAGCCCCCTCTAGCTAATGTTAAAAAGGGTTTTACTTAACCTAGTTTCTAGAGTTGATTAGGAGAATTAGTCTTTGTACCAGATAGACCTTTCAAAATAAAGGATTCCAGGTGCATGTGAAATATTAGACTACAAGTACAGTAATATTTCTCTAAGTGTGTTTCTTGGAAGGTGATATATCTAAATTAATGACAAATCAGAGTAAGAGAATAGTTCTAAAGAAACACATTTTATTAGTTGACTTCTTGATTCTCTTTTCTCCTCCACTTGCTTTGCTAATTCTGTTTCTTTTCACAGAAAAAAACTTACTTGGAAAAGTTGTCTATAATTATAATTGCTCTAGTTCCTCAGTATCCAATCTCTTTTAACCTGTTTTCATTGGACTTCTCTCTGGTTTAACTTAAATCATTCTTACCAAGGTCATCAAAGACCTTCATCTTTCTGAATCCAGTTGTCAATTCTCTATGCTACATTTGAGCTTTCATCAGCATTCAACTCAATTGACCATTTTCTCTTTTAAATTACTTTTCTTTGGCTTTTGAGGTGCCATAGATATCTCCTCTGCCAGGTCTTTCTCTTGTCTAACCTCTGAATGATAAGGTTCTCAGGACTCAGTCTGAGCATTCTTAATTTCTGTGTTTATACACTTTCCCTAGGCGAGCTTAGATCTGACTTCTTTTCCTGATTTGCATGCTTGTATATCCAGTTGTCTAATTGATGTACCACTTGGATGTGTTATGGTCAACCCAAATTTAACATTGCTCAGATCACTCTTTTCTCCCCAAATCTCTCTTGATTTCCCCTCAAAACTTCCTCCTCAGTTAAATTTTGTTGCTCAAGCTAAAAATCCTAGGAGTCATTCTAGGTAGTTCTTTTTGTCTTACTCCACATCTAATCCATCAGTTCTTTCTGTTAGTTTTCTGTCCAAAACATGGCTTGAGTTCTTACTTCACACCATCTTTCCTGTCACCAGCCTAGGTTAAGTCAACAGTCTTGCCTAGGCTACTTCTGGTGCCTTTTAACTAGTTTTCTATCTGTTTTTGCCCCCTTCCCCTGCCTGCAGTGTCAATTTCCTACACTACAGCTAGAGAGATCTTTTAAAAAGTGAAATTACATTTTCCATAGAAAATATACAAAAGGACATGAGAAATTGCTCAGCATCATTTGTCATTAGAGAAAGGCAAATCAAAACCATAATGAGATACCACTTTACACCCACTAGAATAACTATTATAAGAGACAGACAATAACCCGTGTTGCCAAGGATATAAAGAAGTTGGAACCCTCATACATTTTTGCTGGGAATGTAAAACATTGCAGCCACTTGGGAAAACAGTTTGGCAGTTCCAACAAAAAATTAAACATGGAGTTACTATATGACTTCCAATTCTACTTTTAGGTATATACTGAAGAGAACTGAAAACATGTGTCCACATAAAAACTTGCACAGGAATGATCATGGTACCATTATTTATAATAGCCAGAAAGTGGAAACAATTTAAATGTCTATCAACTGATGAATATCTAAATAAAATATGACTTATTCATACAATGGAATATTATTTGGCCATACAAGGAATGAAGTATTAATACATGCTATAATATGAGTGAATATTGAAAACATTTTGCTAAGTGAAAGAAGCTTGGTACAAAAGACACATATTGTATGATCTCATTTATATAAAATGTCCAGAAAAGGCAAATCTGTGGAGACAGAAAGCAAATTAGTTTTTGAGTTATGAACTAATGAGTAGAGAGTTTCTTTTTGGGCTGATGAAATTGTTGTGGAATTAAATAGTGATGATGGTTACACAGCTCTGTGAACCACTGGATTGTACACTTAAAAGGATAAGTTTTATGGTACATGAATTATGTCTCAATAAAACTGCTATAAAAAATAGTAAAATTAGGTCATTCCTTACTGAGTGTATTACTGGCTTAAAAGGTATCAATGGTTTCCTATCATATTTCAAATGAAATTCAGACTCCTTATTGTGACCTTCAAGGCCCTATGTAGTCTGCCCCTTCCTTCCAATGATCTCTACTTCACTCATGTGCTCCAGCCACACCAACCTCCTTACCATTTTTCAGAGATGCCAGGGTCATTGTCACTTTTATTTAGAATGTCTTCTCATTCAGGTCATTCTTTCTAAATGTTTCTTTATAGCATATTTATATATAAAATATATATATTTACTTTTTCTTTCTCCTTCTCTAGAATGTTTGCCCATAAGGGCAGGGATGCTATCTTATTTACTGTAGTCCCAACATTTATTACAGTTTTGGCACATAATACTGTATCCGCTTAGTAAATTATTTTTGAATTAATGAGAACTTTGTAGAAGGGGCCGGCCTATGGCTCACTTGGGAGAGTGTGGTGCTGATAACACCAAGGCCATGGGTTCGGATCCCTATATAGGGATCCGAACCCATGGCCTTGGTGTTATCAGCACCACACTCTCCCAAGTGAGCTAACCGGCCATCCCTATATAGGGATCCGAACCCATGGCCTTGGTGTTATCAGCACCACACTCTCCCAAGTGAGCTAACCGGCCATCCCTATATAGGGATCCGAACCCATGGCCTTGGTGTTATCAGCACCACACTCTCCCAAGTGAGCTAACCGGCCATCCCTATATAGGGATCCGAACCCATGGCCTTGGTGTTATCAGCACCACACTCTCCCAAGTGAGCTAACCGGCCATCCCTATATAGGGATCCGAACCCATGGCCTTGGTGTTATCAGCACCACACTCTCCCAAGTGAGCTAACCGGCCATCCCTATATAGGGATCCGAACCCATGGCCTTGGTGTTATCAGCACCACACTCTCCCAAGTGAGCTAACCGGCCATCCCTATATAGGGATCCGAACCCATGGCCTTGGTGTTATCAGCACCACACTCTCCCAAGTGAGCTAACCGGCCATCCCTATATAGGGATCCGAACCCATGGCCTTGGTGTTATCAGCACCACACTCTCCCAAGTGAGCTAACCGGCCATCCCTATATAGGGATCCGAACCCATGGCCTTGGTGTTATCAGCACCGCACTCTCCCGAGTGAGCCACGGGCCGGCCCATAAGATTTTGTAAATAGAATAGAAATTAGTTACTGTCTCAGATATAAATGACTGGAAAATTGAATCAAAAGAATAGGAAGATGTCTTTATCACACTATTAGGAAACTCTTGGTTCCTTCATTTTGGCTTATGATTCTTATTACCAGAATTGCTTTGGTTTAGCATCTCAAAAAAAGTATAGAAATAATTTCACCTACAAAAATGGCTACCTAGAATCCTCTAAACAAGCTAACATTGGAATGGCAGATAGAACCATTGCATTTCAAACCTGACTGTTTTCTTGCAGCCAAGTTATCTGTATAGACTTCTAACTTCACTTGTGATTTTTCATTTGTGCTATGTTTTTTTTTTCTTTAGGGGCCTTGGACAAGTTGTTACTGACTATGTTCATGGAGATGCTTCACAGAAAGCTGCTAA